CGGAAGTGGTGCTGTAGCTCAAGTGGTAGAGCGCTAGCCTTGAGCTGAAGAGCTGAGGGACAGTGCCCAGGCCCAGAGTTCAGGCCCCATGACCAGACCCCCCCCAAAAAAAAGTATTTTTGTTATCTTTAAGTAGTTGTACAAAGGGGTTACTATGCAACATGTCAGTTTATCCTGGTCATCATTCTCCCTCATCTTCCCCATCCCCTCTATTTTGCTAGTTTCATAGGATTTACATTGAATATTATGAATCTGATTCCCCTCCCCTCCATTTCTCTCCTCATTCAATTTCTTCTTTGTATCTTAGTCTTGCTAAATAGCCCAGGCTGGGCTTGAATTCACCATTTTCCTGGCTTAGCCTCTCAAGTATTGAGGTTACATACAAAGGCCACTTGCCTGGGCTTCTTACCTTTTTATTCTTGTGCCAGTTCTGGGGCTTGACCTCAGGGCCTGGGCACCGTCCCTGAGCTTCTTTTGCTCAAGGCTAGCACTCTGCTACTTGTGCCACAGCATCATTTCCAGCTTTTTCTGAGTAGTTTATTGGAGATCTCATGGACTTTCCTGCCCGGGCTGGCTTCAAACCACAAACCTCAGATCTTGGCTTACTAGGTAGGTAGGTTTACAGGCATGAGCCACCAGCACCCAGCTGCTTATCTATTTTCAAGTACAGTTCAGTAATATTAAGTACATTCATAATTACTAGACAACCGTCAATTCTCCAAATGTTGGTGTAAGACAAGACTGATTTGTGCTTTTGCTTACAAGTAGTCCACATTTAGAATCATGTACCTGCATTAATCAAGGTGTTCTTTCTCAAAACAGGAGAATGCCCTCATCACCTCCCACCCGTGAAAGCCCCCCTTCAAACAAAGAAGAAGACAAAGCATTGTTTTCTTTGTGGAAAGAAAACAGGACTGGCTACTAGCTACGAATGCAGGCAGGTTGGCCAACTAGAGAAGCTGAGATACTTAGCAGCCCTCAGACTCATTCCTAAGTGGGTGGAGTAAAGAAAAGTAGAGAGTTCATAGTTTCCCAAAAGGAAAAACTGACCCTCAAGCTACTCATTAAACTAGGAGACTTAAGCCAATGGGAGAAGGTACCTTTATCTAATGTTAAATAGATTGGTTTGGGTTTGAATGTTGCCTAGAAGAAACTCTCTTCCAAGATTCTATTTTATTGTGCCACACTAGGGCTTGAACTCAGGGCCTTGCATTGCCTTAGCTCAAGGTTGGTGCTCTACCACTTGAGCCACACCTCCAGCCTGGCTTTGTGCTACTTATTTTGGAAATAGAATGTCATAGACTTCTGTTCAGGCTGGCTTTCAACCTCCATCCTCAGATCTCAGCTCTCTGCATAGCTAGGATTATAGGTAGCCACCAGCACCCAGCTCAAGATTCTCTTTTAAAGTGAAAAAGAAAAAAAGACTATAGTGAAAGTTAATTTACTATACATTTTAGCAATAATAGGTTATAGTTACTTCAAAAGAGTTGAATACTATATTTTTAAAGAATGAATTTTTCTTACCGTAATTATTTCTTACATTACCACTTATTGTTATCTTCTAGGGGTGGTGTCTGCCCTAGGGTGAGACAGACACTGAAAATGACTTCTGCTTTTTAGAGTGGACTGTGTTCTAATGAATATCACTTCCCTTGTTGCTAGAACCATTTTTCAAGTTCTCTCATAGTATAGTTAGATTTTACATAATTTTTTTGTTTGGTCGTGGGACTTGAACTTTGGACCATGGCACTGGGCCAAGGCTCTTCAGCTCAAGGCTAGCGCTCTACCACTTGGAGTCACAGCACCACTTCCAGTTTTCTGGTGGTTTATTGGAGATGAATCTCATGGACTTTCCTGCCTGGGCTGGCTTTGAATCTCGAGGCTCAGATTTCAGCCTCCTGAGTAGCTAGGATACAGGCATGATCCACCAGTGCCCAACAGATTTTATGTAATTTTTATGAGACTGAATTTCTGAAAAATTATCAAGTATAGGAAGTACAGTGAACGTGTTTAACCAAGTTTCAGTTTGCGTGCTTTGTAAAGGGCTCTTTCATACTGTATTCTTCGCAAAAAATTAACTTATTCTTTTGGAGCGGGCTCTGTCTGTGCTTATGAGTGGAAGGGAAATGTCAGCACTGACATTACTAAAGAGATGCGAGGGGCTCCTGTTGGACTGCCTAAAGTCGGGCTCTTCTAAAGAGATGAGCCTTTCACAGAAATACCATTGTTCACATAAACTTTTTTTGTGCTTTAGATGTGGAAACAACTTCTGTGCATCTCATCGCTATGCAGAAACTCACGGCTGCACCTATGATTACAAGAGTGCAGGGAGGAAATACTTGCAGGAGGCAAATCCTGTGGTTAACGCACCAAAGCTTCCAAAAATCTAACTTTCCCCTGCACCCCACTGCTCTGCCCGAGGAATCGCATTATATTGACAGAAGACATGTTGCTTAGACTGCATTATTTTTGTTCGTCTCCAAAAGATTTGCCAAATAAGAGCATATAATGCATACTGTTGAAGAATGAGAGTGCTCCTGTATTTGATGTCTTTATTCTTTGGTAAATCAAAACTTTTTAGTTTTAAAAGCTTTCTACTATAGCTTTGTTCTTACATGTCTGTGTTAAGTGTTTTATATTTGCTATTACAATTTTACTAGACATATCTTCAAAAGATGCACTTGAGGAAGCTGCTGTTGGCTGTGTAACCAAGCTCCCAGGCTGTACAGAAATGAGTGGTCGTGTAATGGCACTATACAAAGTGACCATATTTTGTCTGTATTTCTTTTTTTGAGGGGTTGGGGTAAGTAGGGGTATTTTAAAGATCCCATGTGTGAAAGTTTATGAGTTTACTGGCAAGTTCTTTTTATTTTCAAACTACTTTTTATAAAAAAGAACATTTGGTTTTCCAAATATCTATATATTTCTTCCATATTTAGATTAGCATTCAGATATGTATCCATTCTCTAAAACACATCATGTTGATTATAGTATATATTTATTAAAATACTACTTTTTAAAAGGTAGTTTTTTTTATAAGACAATGTCCTACTTGTCATTAAATACAGGAACCACCTTTTTTTTAAAAAAAATGGCTACACTTGAAGCAAAATTCTACAGCTTGGCTTGTTTTTCTTATATATTGAGTGCTACTACCAGAAGAAATTAAAATAAATATTCAACTTGACTATGAGTTTGATTATTTGATTATTTACAGTAAACTTTCTAAATATATTTTATAAAACTGTTAAATAAATCAGTCATATATAAAACTTGGGGAAAATGATTAGCAGTATAAAAGCATTCTCAGATGTAATAAATGGATCATCTAGACTTGTGGGCCAAGGCATACTGCCATAAATAATTCTCTAAATATGAATGCATATAGTAGGCTTGATATGTGCTTTGTGTTCTCTGTTTCTTAAGTATAAATAAGTACATAAATAGAGAGCAATAAGATGTGGGGTTTCATACACTTACCACATTCCTGTCTCTCAATTAACCAGAAATAAAACCTCAGGCTAGTGGCAAGAAACAGTACATCAATCCAGCCATTAACCAGCCTTTTAGAACATAAAGAATAATTTAGCATAGAGAATAATTTAGGTAGTAAAAATCTGTAACCAATGATGACTTCAGATGAGCAAATCTCAATGCAGAAACACAAAAAATACAATACCTCAACAAGTCAATAATTACATAATAATCCATTTCAGTGATACTGAAGTCAGAGAAATCTCAAATACTCCACTCAAAAGAATGATAAGAATGGTCAATGAAATTAAGGCATAAATGTATAATATGGTTAACATGATGTATTTTCCAGAATGAATACATATTTGAACGCCAATCTGAATATGGAAGAAATATACAAGTTAACTACATTGGAAAGTCAAACATTCATTTTTTTATAAAAAGTCGTTCAAAATGAAAATTCAAAGAGAATATAAATAAACAGATAAATGAATTTAAAGAAGATACAAATAATAAGTGAATAAGGAAGATAATGCAAGATAGATAAAATTCAACAAAGAAATCATGAAAACCTTGAAATTATGAAAATGAAAAGCTCAATAAATTAAAATGTAAAAACTCAGTTGAAAATCTTTTTAGTAGAGTTGATCAAATGAAGGACAATCAGGTTTACTGACATGTTGAGTGCAATACAAGAAACAGATGAGAATAACCAGTACAAATGAAAAAGGAAAACATTTGGCACACTATTAAAAGAATAAATCAATGATGACTCATCAACATAAAAAAAGAAGGTGTATGATCTAAAGGCGTAGTATATATAATAAAGTATCAGGACAAAATTTCCAAAATCTTGAGAAAGGAATGGTCATCCAGATACAGGAGACTTTTCGGACTCCAAACACATAAGACCAGCTTCAGGAGAGAAGTGTCAAGTTATATACAAAGGCAAACCTCTCAAAGCAAATTTCACAACAGAAACTTTAAAAGGTGGAATTGAATGATACATTTTAAGCCCTGAAATTAAATGATTCCCAGCTTAGATTACTGTATGAGGCAAAGTTATCCTTCATAATTGGAGAAATTAAAAAATATACAAAAGTTAATGGAATTCATGGCTACTAAGCAAACACTGCAGAAGATACCTAAAGGAATCTTAAACAGAAAAAGAAAAAAAAAACATGGTAATCTCTCTAGATGAGTAGATGAGGAGTAAGAAAGATCCTACAAAATAAAATAACAGGGCTTAATTAACTTTGCAGTAATAATTCTCAATTGTCTAGATTCTCTAATCAAAAGATTAGCTGGGTGCTAGTGACTCACACCTGTAATCCTAGCTGCTCAGGAGGCTGAGATCTAGGGATTGTGGTTCAAAGCCAGCCAGGGCAGGAAAGCCTGTAAGACTCTTAGCTCCAATAAACTCAAAAGGCCAGAAGCGGCTCCAATGGTAGAGCACTAGCCCTGAGTACAAATGTTCAGGGACAGTGCTCAGGCCCTGAGTTCAGCCCTAGGAACACGAGCATATGCGCATGTGCACACACACACACACACACACACACACACACACACACACACACACACACACACACCACTGACTGATTCACTTAAAAAAAAAAACAGATGCAAACATGTGTTGCCTTTCAGAAATGGACTTGACTGACCAAACACAGCTTAAACTGAAAGGATGAAAGAAAGCTCCTAAGCAAATGTTGCTACAAAGCAGCAGGGGTGTGTATACACACACTTGACAAAGCAGACTAAAAGTTATACCTAGAAGAGATAGAGATCACTACATATTGCAAAGGAAACAATGCATCAGGAGAATATAACAGTTGTGAACATGTGCATACTATCAGCACACTAATTTAATGAAGGAAATAATACTGGATGGAAAAACTCATATCTGAACACATCAGTAGTTGGGGACTTCAGTGCCCAGCTCACCAATATAGATCAGACAAAACCATAACAAAATGTAAGAACTGACCCTATAGATCAAGTAGACTAAATAGAATATTTCACTCAGTAGCAGTTCATGGAATTTTTCCCAAATAGGTCATATATAAAACAAATACAAGGAGCTGGGAAGGTGGCTCAGTGGTAGAGTGCTTGCCTTGCATGCATGAGGCCCTGGGTTCTATTCCTCAGCACCAAATAAGCAGAAAAAGCCGGAAGTGGTGCTTTGGCTCAAAACTAGCCTTGAGCTGAAGAGCTGAGGGATAGTGCCCAGGCCCAGAGTTCAGGCCCCATGATGGACCATAAAACAAAACAAATACAAGAAATATAACTAGAAGACCACAAGGGAATAAAAAGTACAAATCAGTGAGAGAAAGTAAGGTATTCAAACACATGGGGACTGAACAATTTACTTTGTATGTGTATGTGGGTGCGGGGGGAGTCCTGGAGTTTGAAGGTAGAGCCTGGATGCTATCTCTGAGCTGCTTTTGCTCAAGGCTAACCCTCTACTACTTGAGCCATAGCACCAGTTCTGGCATTTTCTGGGTAGTTTATTTATAGGTTGGCTTTGAACCACAATCCTCAGATCTCAGCCTCCTGAGTAGCTAGGATTGCAGGCATGAGCCACCAGCAGCTGGAACAATTCACTTTTCATCAATGGACTAGTAAGGAAATAGGAGGGAACTTTTAAAAAAAATCCTAGAATCACATGAAAATGAAAATACAACTCAGGATCTTTGGGAGAGGACAAAAGGAGTGCTAAGAAGAAATTTTATAGCCATGAATGCCAACATTAAAAATAAGCTGTAAGCCAGGTGCTGGTGGCTCACACCTATCCTACTGATTCAAGAGACTGAGTTGTGAGGTCACCATTCAAAGCAGACCAAGAAGATAAAACCATAAGACTTTTTTTTCTTCAATTAACTAGAAAAAAAAAGCTGTAACTGGAGGCGTGGATTAAGTGCTTGAGTACCAGCTATGAGTGAAAAAAACCAAGCAGGAGCATGAGGTCCTGAGTTCAAGCCCCAGTAATCTCCTCCCCGCCCCCATATACATAACATAATGATCCTCCTCAAAAGTATCAAAGAATTTAGGAAACAGGCCAAACTCAAAAGCAGTAAATGAAAAGAAAATAAAGATTATTGCAGAAATTAATGAAGACCAAAAGATGGATACAGTGATTCAGTGAAAAGTTAGACCAGGTTGATAAACCTGCAGCCAAACTAACAAAATTAAATGGAGAGAAGACTCAAGTGAAATAAAGAAGAAAAAAAAATGTGAACTCAAAACAAATACCAATGAAGCCAAAAGGAAAAGCACTTTCACAAAAGACTGAAAAGACACAACAAAATTAGAGATAAGGGACGGACATCACAACAGTGAAATTCAGAGGGTCATTATGGAATAATGTTGTCAGTTATGGGTCTTGAACTCTGGGCCTGGGCTCTGTCCCTCAGCTCTTCAGCTCAAGGCTAGTGCTCTACCACTTGAGCCACAGCACCACTTCTGGTTTTCTGGTGAGGTAAGAGTCTCACGGAAGGGGCTGGGAACGTGGCTCTGTGGTAGAGTGCTTGCCTTGCATGCTTGAGGCCCTAGGTTCTATTCCTCAGCACCACATAAAGAAAAAAAAGCTGGAAGTGGTGCTGTGGCTCAAGAGCGTTGGCCTTGAGCTGAAGAGCTGAGTGACAGCACCCAGGCCTAGAGTTCAGGCCCCACGACCGGACACCCCCCCCCAAAAAAAAAGAGTAGATAAATGTTGGGCTGGGAAGGTGGCTCAGTGGTAGAGCGCTCGCCTTGCATGCTTGAGGCCCTGGGTTCAATTCCTCAGCACCACATAAAGAAAAAAAAGCTGGAAGTGGTGCTGTGGCTCAAGAGCGTTGGCCTTGAGCTGAAGAGCTGAGGGACAGCACCCAGGCCCAGAGTTCAGGCCCCATGACCGGACCCCTCTTCCCCCCAAAAATACCTAGGAATAAACTTAATTATGGGAATGAAAGAACTCTTGAATAAAACATTGAAAAAGAAATTGAAGAGATATAATGTACTATGTAATTTTTTTGTTTCTTTGAATGCTCTTCCCACATGGTATAACCCCTGTTTTCACTGTATTTGATTCCAGTGTCCTGCATCTTGTATATACATTTTTCTAATTTGGGGAGGGGAAGGG